GTTTTATCTCGTAATAGTGTATTACTTTTCAATAAAAAATGTACAAGCTGCACATTCTGTTTCAGAATCAAAACACCAGCCAAGGATATGAGCTGTAAGTTAGGAAATTTTGAAAAAATGGACTAGGAAGTTTTGTCGTCAGCTCCAATAAAAATCAACATCGAGCTCTTGTGCTGTTCATATATATACCATTTAACATATATAGTTAAAACTCCTTTTCTGATGTCTTGAAAAGCTCAACGCATGGAAATATTATGTGCTATGAGCATGTGATACATAAAGTGACAGCCGGCAAGAATCCCACCACCCGACCGACCCTGTCTGCAATGTTTCGTGCGAATCATAGTGTACGCAATTGCACAGCTTACGCGCGCTATTTCTCATCGAAAAAGTATTTTTGCTTCTAGACTTTCTTAGGATGCTGAGCTTCCAGCAGATCTTGTTGGCTGTATCTTGTATTCAGTGATTTCTTATGTATAATTATTTTTCATATTTAGCACACTTGAGTTGAGTTGATCTACGGATTGAATTTTTCAGCTGTTATCAACTTATTATGTCTCTACTGAGCTTGTCTTCACGCCAGCCAGACCTCCTTGCAAAACAAACCAATACAGATGATGAATGCTTCAAACAGGTGTCCACTGTTCCAAGGCTTAACTTAGAGGCTCCCAAGAACGTGAGTTCTGGTCTTCGGATTTCCTTCTTTGTTTTCTAGCTTTATATTAATGGAGCAGTATTATTTATATGATCAAAAACACACTATGTGATTTAGACAGCAGCTGCAATCCCACATGAACTTGCAGCTGAAGATTCTCGTATACGAAATAGAGTAGCCGATTACATTAATGCACAGGGGATGCTGGCCGGAACCGCATACGCTGAACAGCTTCTTCTGTAAGTTTGTTTACTGGGTACTTGGAAGCAAGGCTAGAAATAGCTTTGGCTTCCCTACAGTTGAAATCGAATATAAGCACTATCTTATACTTTAGCACTTCACTGCATAAGGATTCTTAGTCCTGTGATAAATGACAATGTTATTTGTAATATTATCAATACATTATTTTTACTCATACGAGATTTTTTTTTTGAAATTAATTTCGTGTAGACCTTTATCTGATGTGATGGACTCTTCTGTCATCCTGTTAACCGCCAAATAGTTTATCATTCCTTTACCATGATTTATCGTATCCGCCTTGAGTGTCTCTCCGATTTCAGCGAGTTGAATTCTGCTGCTCAAATCAATCGTGGTCCAGATGGTGTCTTCGAATCATCGCGTCTCCATTGGGATATGATTTTGGGCCGTGATGAGACCATCTACCCATCTGATTACCTCAATTTTGACTCGAAAATGAAGTTCTGATGTATCATTTCTGGGCGTATGAACTGTGTTAACTATGATTTCTTGTAATCAACAGTGCGAGCTCAACGTTGTCTGATTCAATGAAAATTTCTTAAAAAAATTTTTGAATACATGATCGTTCGCCGTTGTATTTATCGAATTAATAAAGTTGTGATATATCATTTACACATGTACTGAGTTGGTTTCGGACCGTACGTTACCTTGCTACCGAGGTCAAATGAGGTTCTCATTTAATTACATTCGTTTTAGTCATACCAGTATGAATCCGATGCGACCAGGAGCCTCCGGTATGTCATCTCTAGCAATTTGTTTAAATTTGATTCATGTGACTTTTCAGTTATGAGACCAAATCCACTCCACATCACATTTAAAAATCCAAATTGGCCTGC